TATATATATATATATACCACATCTTCTTTATCCATTCATCTGTTGATGAACATCTAGGCTTTTCCCATAGTTTGGCTATTGTGGACTTTGCTGCTATAAGCATTGGGGTAGCACCAACTCTTCTGTATTTGGTGAATGATGAAAGAGTGAACGGACCAATGACTAGTTCACCTACCCCACCCTTTATTCTCTCCCTTCTCGAAGCGGCAGAACCAGGAACATGCAGCCAAGGGGTCAGTTAGAGCAGGGCTTTGGACGAGGGAAGTCCTTCGTTTCAGTGACTAGGCCTTACTTTGGAATTGATGGCAGAAACCCATGGGCAGCCCAGCGTATCCCCCACACCCAGGCCAAGGCACCACGCAGCCAACCAGCCTCTCCCCTTGTGCCCAGGGCGACGGCGCTGGACCGCTACGGGCTGCAGAAGGCGGGCTTCACGCACGTGCTGAATGCGGCTCACGGCCGCTGGAACGTGGACACGGGGCCCGACTACTACCGCGACATGGCCATCGAATACCACGGCGTTGAGGCCGACGACCTGCCCACCTTCGACCTCAGCGTCTTCTTCTACCCAGCAGCCGCTTTCATCGACGCGGCGCTCAGCCAGGACCACAGTAAGAGACCCGCCACCCTTGGTAGTTCAACCCCAACAAACCCGCCTGCGGCCCCGCCCCCGCGCCCCACGAAGGCCCGCCCCTCATCTTGGCTGGAGGCGGGATCTGCGCACTCTCAAAGCGGGTTCTGCAGGGGTTGTGAGTGATTGAGTTGGGACTGAGGCCCAGGAGGCTGGGAGCCACACTGAGCGTGCTGCTGGTGGGGTTTGGGCCTTGATTGCCGCTGTGGGGAATCGGGATCGGGAGGGTTCGGAGGAAAGGCCTTCGGCCTGAATCCCAATTCCCTAAGGCTCAGCAGCGATCCTTGGAACAGCAGGGACGTCTGGATGCCCTCAAAGCTGGGACTACAGCCCAGACGCCAAATGTGCCTGGGCCCAAACCTAATAGCTAGGGGCTTCAATGCCAGAAAACCTTTGGGGAGCTGACTTGGAGAGACTTCAAAACCTCCTGCCAACCAACTGAGCCCGCAGCTCCCCCTATCCCTCCTCCTCCCCCAACACACAGTCTAGTGAGGCCTCTTATAGAAAGCTGACAACCTAACCTTCTAAATGGTGACCTGTATTTGAGAATCTGAGTTTTGCACCCATGATGTCCAAGTTTCCCAAGGTTAATTTTCCATTTTTATTTTATTTTTTTTAAAGATTTTATTTATTTATTTGACAGAGACACAGCAAGAGAGGGAACACAAGCAGGGGGAGTGGGAGAGGGAGAAGCAGGCTTCCCGCAGAGCAGAGAGCCCGATGCAGGGCTCGATCCCAGGACCCTGGGATCATGACCTGAGCCAAAGGCAGACACTTAACGACTGAGCCACGGAGGCACCCCTAATTACCCATTTTTAAAATCGCAGTGCTAGTCCTTGCACTCAAAATGTAGTTTTAGCTGGTCTAATCCAGGTAAAGGCTACAAGGCTCTTTTGGAGAGAAGGGCCTGGCTTAGGTCTGCATTGGGGTAAAACAATACGCAGTTATTGCTGCAAGGGGGTGTTTCAGGGACATTTCATAGAGGCCAGAGGGACTTCTACTCCCTAATCTGTGCTCTGACTTTAGGCCCACGTTTCATACCCCTTTACAGGGCCATCACATAATTCAGGGTGTCCAGTTACTGAAAGCCTTTCTTGCCACAAGAGGCTGGGATTACGAGGCTCAGTGACCGGTGGACTGGCCTGCTTCAGGAACTTGCAGTCTGCAGCTGGGCCCAGGCCAAGTCCCAGACCTTGATGGCCATCCCACAGCGGTCCTGGCCCCACAGCTAGGCACCAACAGTTTGTTTTTATTTTGGTTCAGAAAGCAAGGTCACAGTGAAAAAAAACCTCACAGAGCTGAAGGGCTTCTATTAGGGGAAGCCTTAGTTCAAAGTCATGCTTTTATGAGACTATTTATTGATCATCTTTTGCATTATGCACATTCTGGGTTTCTAAGCAGTATCAAAAAGCAACTGGACTCTGACTCATCAACGTGAGGTAAAATTTGCCTCAGATTATTTGAAGTTAACTGAAAACATATTTGACAAGAAAAAACAAAAAGCTGCCACAGCCCAATCCTTCGGTTTCTGTTTAATGTACTCTTTTGTCATTACTGTATCTCCAAACTTTCTCTTAATGGAAGGGGTTTGGCAGCCTTTGGAGAAGACAGGGTGGGGTTTCACACCTTACAACTTACTAACAATGGGATTTCGCTAAGCCTTCTTTCTCAATCTGGTGATGAAAATATTTACCTTGGAGGGTTCTAATGAGGATCAGCAGTAACCCACATAGAGCACTTCGCGTGGAACCTGGTGCACAGCGGGTTCTCAGATGTGTTTGATAAAGAGAGGTCGTGCACCATGAAACAAAACCACGCTAGCATGTGTGCATCATAATAATAAAGTTTCCAATCCCAAAAGAAAAAAAAAAGGAAAAAAGACATTCCAACTTTGAACTAGTACAGTAGACTCACATGACAGCTTGTTTTCAGTTCCTGGTACACCATTTTAGAGTCTTCCCCGCTCTGCTGAATTAGGAAAGAATGGGGCTCAAAAGTCATATGTAGGCCTGGGCAGATCACAGAGCGCTGATGAGGAGATGTCAGGCTGGAGTGGGTCCTGACCCGTAGGTCATAGGTGCGAAAACTCCCAGCAAAGAAAAGAAAGGGTCAAGAGAGAAAAGTATATGCTCAGGTCAGAGAATGTGCAGGGGACAGAATCGGTGGGCAGGGCTGTGGGACTAGACCAGTTGTCCGGGTAAGGGGAGCAGGACATGACCCCACGGCCAGGTGGGAGACTGGAGTTCCTTCTCAGCGCCTTTGCACTTGAATATCCTCAAGTCTGCGGCTCAAATCGAAATGCGAACCCCGCAGAACCCGGCAGGGAACGTAAGCAAATGGCGCTGGCTCCGTGGAACGCGTGGGCGCTGGGGCGGGCGTGCTCGTAGCGACGTGGAGAGCCCCAAATAGTCCCCAAAGGGGGCGCTGCTGCTGGGTCTCAGCCAACACGTGACCTGTGAGAATCAGGGCGAATGTGGTAGATCTGATTTTTCAGGAAAAGTCTTCAATCTGGATTTTAATGTGAAATTGCCCAGTTTTTAAGTGTTGGCAACACCTTGAAAATTTCTTAAAATGCTGCAAAGGCCAAACAAAAGAAATCCAGGGGCTGTGTGTTTGTAACCGATGCCGAGTCGTCAGGGTAACGAAGTAAAACGCTCATTAGTCAGCGACGGCATCGTCACGGACCCCATCCACTGGGGGCGGGGGGATGTGCTCAGCCTCCCTGCCACAGGCATGGGCAGCGTGGGTGTCTAGTCGTTCGTCGGGCGTCTAGGGGCCACTACCACGGCATACTGGAGCCAGGCTCCCTCACATGTTCCTTATTACACTCTTGATGTAAGAGATGTTGATGGGCAGTCTGGCCAGAAGGCAAGGCCCCTCTCTCTCTCCCCTCTCTTGTCTTTCCTGTTCTTCCTTGGCTAGTTTCAGCCAAGTGTGCACTCTTTCCCACTGCTGCCCCTCGCATCCAGTCTTTTTTTTTAAAAGATTTTATTTATTTATTTGAGAGAGAGAGTGAGAGAGAGAGAGAGCACAAGAGAGGGGAGCGGGAGAGGGAGGAGCAGACTCCCCGCTGAGCAGGGAGCCCGAGGCGGGACACGATCCCGGGACTCCAGGATCATGACCTGAGCCGAAGGCAGTCGCTTAACCAACTGAGCCACCCAGGCGCCCCTCGCATCCGGTCTTGTCTACTCTCGCTGAAAAGCCTTCCTCGTGGGGCTGTAAAGCTGTACCTGTGGCCTGTGCGACCCACTCCTACCCCTGTCCTACCCTGACCCATTCCTTCCGAAAGAACTCCCTAGACAACGGTGGTCACACTTGAAAAATCTCAGAAATAAGCCAGTCCAGTGTCCGGCCCTTAGAGCTGGGGAAACAGAGGCCCAGAGAAGCCAAGTGATGTGCCCAGGGTCACAGAGCTAATCAGAGGCCAGCAGGAATGCCTTCTGTCACCCAGGCCTCTCAGAAGAGTCCTTTGCCCTTGTTTTGAACATCTGGTGACTTTCCTGTATAAGAGGTCACCAAAAATCGTGAAAGGTGAGGCACTCCAGCTGGTTATAAGATCTGAAACAACTGAACGTGTCATTCATCAGCGGAGAGAGAAGTACTGACAAGACACTGCCCTGGAAACCCCATTTGGACGGCCTTCACTGCTCCTGGCATGACATCCTCAGAGGTGAAGTCGTGTGGTTTTAATTTGAGAAATCCCGGAGCAGATACTGTGAGGCTCTGAAGATCAGATTTTAGTATCGCCACTCTCCTTTTGTTCTTTTTTTCTTTTTCTTAAACGGGCCATAGGCTGCTTTTGAAGCCATCTTAAAATCTATTATGGATAAGGCAGGTATGGATAAAGACATGAAGTCCGCTTTCAAGCCAGAGCTTGGCTCTCTGGTGCTTCTAAGCTTTAACCAGACCAGGTTTTCAGGGTATTTGAAGGGTCCCCTGCCCCACTGCAGCACACACAGGCCTGCCCCCTAGCCGCTCAAAACACAACACGCACCCTTCTTCTGACGCCTTCCCACAGACCCAGAACTGTTTGGGAGAAGTATGAGCTCTGCCTTTGCAGGCTGCTGAGGAAGGTAGGTGAGTGAGAGACAGGCAAAGAGCATCCCTCCAAAACCAAGGAAGGAGGTTGCTTATGAGAGTACATACCTGGTGGGGGTGGGATTGAGTTGAGGGTGGGGGTTGGTGGGTAACAGGCTTGGCCTGTATATCTGATCTGAGTGACAGAGGCCTGTCTTTTGGTCACCAGGGAAAATGTGCAATTGGGGAGGAGCAGAGATTCTGCATATGGGTTTTCTTTATAAGACTGCGGGAATTCACCTTTTGGTAAAGGCTAAGGGCAATTATTTCATTGAAATCACCATTGTTGAAACATAGATTGGGACCTATCCGTGCAACATAAAAATCAATTTAGTGGATGCAACCAGCATTTCTTTTAAGAAAATGAATGGGGGGGCGCCTGGGTGGCTCAGTCGTTAAGCGTCTGCCTTCGGCTCAGGTCATGATCCCAGGGTCCTGGGATCGAGCCCCACATCGGGCTCCCTGCTCCGCGGGGAGCCTGCTTCTCCCTCTCCCACTCCCCCCTGCTTGTGTTCCCTTTCTCGCTGTGTCTCTCTCTGTCAAATACATAAATAAAATCTTTAAAAAAAAAAAAAAGAAAAGAAAATGAATGGATTCGAAAAGAATTGAAAATATCAGCATGTATTATTGCCTGTAGTAAAAGTTCGTGTCACCCTGTGGAACTCTTGTCTGATACACACGCACTTGTGATACCACATGGCATCGAAGAGCCCCGAATCTGCTACCAGGTAGCCTGGGTGGGAATCACAGTCCTGCCACTTCCCAGTTGTGCAAATTGGGCGGATCACTTCTTGGCCCTTCATGTCCTCCGTAAAATGGGGATGATAACTGTACCTACCCCGTCCGTGTGTTGTGCCGATTGACTATGTAGTTGGCAGGTTCGGGGGTGGGGGGAGGCTCTGGACATGTAAGCCGTGAACTGTTGTGTGCTGGGGGGGCGCAAAGTGAGAGCCACTGAGCTAGGAAATGCCAGCCCCGACCCAGCTGCCCTAACCCTGGCTGGTGTCTACCGGAGAGCCTCCCGGCGGCTCCGCCATGGGCCATGCCGGGAGCAGGGCCGACGCAGCCTTCCTTGCCCTTGTCTTCTGAACCCTCCTGGGAGTCTTCTCACCACCCGATGCCGGGCCCCAAGGGTGGTGCTTAGCAGAGCCTCAGAGCAGAGAGGGAGCAGCACCCTGGGGTTGCCGAGACAGGCCCTTTACCCGAGGGAGACCTACCAAGCTCACGGGGCTGCCAGCATTAATGCTGCTTTTGTAAAACCAAAATTCAGCTCCAGGAGCTTCTGCTGGAGCCGAGCGCGCCCTTCCCTCCCTTCCCCCTTTCTCCTCCAACCCCCTCCATCTCCCTTCGCCCTTTTTCTCCCCTCCCCTCCTCCCACTTAACAGACTTCAGGCTCCCAAAAGACTTAATGAACTACAGCTTTCATCTGTTTCAAGCATTTAGTCATGACAGAAAGAATTACCCTTTTTGCCAGGAGAGGAAGAAACGCTTTAAGTTATCAGCAGAGCTGGCAAGAGGCCAGGCAGCCTCTGGAACAGTCTGTGAGGATTAGGATGCCAGAGGTATGTTCCAGTCTGGGAGCATAGTCATGCCACGCAAGAGCCAGGGCCGGCCTCCCCCAGACCCGACCCAGCAATAAAGAAGCCGGCCCTGCTTCTTGCCTTCCTTTCTAGCCCATGTGCACAAGGAAAAAGTGGTGTAGTCACATTCTTGTAGCTCAGCAACATGGCGGGTGGATTGAGGGCCCCCTGGTTAGCTTGTGGGGATTCATGAAAACGAATCGTGATCAAATGAACAGTTCCTTATGAAGCACCTCTCTGTGGCAGCAATGTGTGTGTGGAGAAACCAAAATGGAGTCCTTACTGCCGGGCAAGGTGTGCAGGCCTCGCCAGCAGGGGGCGGGGAGAGAGAAACCCTGGGCCTGGTGGTCGGGGCCTCTTGGATTCCTCACGCTGCCTGGGCTGCTGACCATCACCATTGTCCTGGGCATGGTCCCCGGGCACAGGTGAGGGGGTGAGGGTGAGAAGGACACGCGGGGGCCACACCCGTGCAGAAATGTTCTTTAGCAAGCAGTTCTCCCATTCTGCTGATGTTCCACAAGCCCAGTGACGTCCCTAAGTCTTCCTGGTCATCCTTCTGAGCTTCAGGCCCGAGACTGAGGAATAGAGACATGCCTGGGGTCACAAGTCACACGGCTCAAACTGCCCCAGCCGAGCTATCCCACAACGACAGGAGAGGGCAGCCACTGGGATGGCAGTGATGGGGACAGGCGGAGAGCTTAATCTTACTACTTTCTCTGTCCGCAGAGCCCAGAGGCCGGTGGGCAGCACACAGAAGGGTCTCGATAACGAGGTGCCTTAAACTATTTCCGGCACCTGCTTTTTGGGTGACCTCTGGTATGTCATTTTACCACTCTGAGCCCGTTTCCCATCTGTAAAACAGGGATGATGATAATGAAGCTGGAAGGTTCTGTGAAGGATAAGGTGAGATCAAGCACATGGATGTACCATGTGAGCTCTAGAGCAGACCTGAAGGATGCACAAGCTGCTTCCCATTTGTGGCTTCTCAGCTGGGCCCAGCTGACGCCATGGTAGTGTCCAAAGGGAGACTTTTTGTTTGTGGAGATTCTTCTAGATCTCTGGTTCTCAAACTTCTTAGTCTCAGAACCCTTTGACACTCTTAAAAAAGTATTGAAGTCTTCAAGGAGCTTTTGTTTGTGTAGGTTATATTTATCAATATTTACCCTGTTAGGAATAAAAACTGAAAACCTTAAAAATATTTGTTTAACATTTAAAAACCCCTTGCATGTTAAAATAATAACATGCTTTTGTGAAAAAAATGTATTTTCTAAAAGAAAGCTAGGGAGAAGAGTGGCATTATTTTACATTTTTTGCAAATCTCTTCAATGTTAGGCCTATTAGAATTCAGTTGGGTTCTCATATTATCTTCTGCATCAGTCTGTTGCGATATGTTGTTTTGGTTGAAGTATATGAAGAAAATCCAGCCTCATTCAGATATGTAGTTGGAGAAAGGAGGGTTATTTTTATTTTTTTAGGGAGAGATATTTTAATAGCCTTTTCAGATAATTGTGGATATTCTTCTTTAATAGTACACTAGAACTTGACAAGTAATCTTTTTATAAAGGCTAGCTGTGATGTGGCATCTGAAACCATATCCATAAACTTCACAGATATTCTGTTATATGGAAATCCATTGGTCTGTCTTGCACTTTGAATGGATTTTTTTACCCATGCATGATTTCGTGATATCCCACTTTGGTCATTTGGAAAATATTGGTTCCCTAAGTTATGTTGATCTTCCAATTGTTGACCCTTTTCATGGTACATTATTGAAAGAACGCATTGTTTGCCGGGAATGGCCAGCAATCCCTGTACCGACGGATGAAAGATGATTCCAAACTTTGCCGTGACAGAGAGGAGAAGGCAAGGGGGTCAACACTCAGAGACGAAAACCCTTTGCTCTTCTTTGCTCCCGCTTTTATTGGTCCTTCAGGAGAATCACAAATCCTTATGTTTCTCAAGCACGTGATGTGTGACAAGGAGTCTCACTGAAACTGGGAGGATTTACGGGAAAGATAAGATATGCTAATCTGCGTGTGCTACTAAACATAGCCTAAGGGACAATGCACACATCTCTTAGATCACAGGGCGGCTGTTTGGGCTAAGAGAGATTCGGGGAAGGCAACTCCCCACGGCATTCCTCCGGCAGAGTGGGTCACCGGGCCCCGGCATTCCAAAGGCCTACGCCCTTCTCCGAAACCCTCCCTGCCCTCAGTGGCCTCCATGTTACATTTTAGCAAGCCGGGTATTATGGCTGATTTCATGCTCTACATTAACCCCAACAATTGTTAATATCACCACCAACCTTAACAGAAAAACCTAAAAGTACTGGGAAACGGTCAACCTCACAGTAATAGATACAAGTTTTCAAAAATTCTAATATTTTTGCTCAAAAGCTTGCATTTTATCCCTGGCAACAAATACCATTGGTTGTTTTCTTTGAAATGAGAGGCTTACTTTGTTCACTTCTGAGACAGGGTCTGCCAAATACCCAAGTGTGAATTATCCTGGTTTTTCTGTCATTTGTTCTTTTAAGTAAAAACAATGTTTCATGAACAGTGGCTAATTCAGCTTGCAACTCAATCTCCCGAGGAGATAACCATCTCACTTTGGTACTCAGTCTAAGTGCTTTATGTGTTCGTACCATTTCATCACACAGAATATTAAGTAGAAGTGTAACCAAAGGCTGAAATTTGATAAAATTCATTTTTACTGCTTCATCAAGGATAGTCTTAAGGGAAATTAGCATTTCTTCGCGCCGGAGAGTGCGTGGTGGCGAAGAATGCCATGATGACTAGTACAGTTTGGTGCCTCTTCTCCCCACTGCATTTCAGGCAAGATCCTGGTTCACTGTGTCATGGGCCGCAGCCGGTCGGCAACCCTGGTCCTGGCCTACCTGATGATTCACAAGAACATGACCGTGGTGGACGCCATTCGACAAGTGGCCAAGAACCGCTGTGTCCTGCCCAACCGGGGCTTTCTGAAGCAGCTCCGGGAACTGGACAAGCAGCTGGTGGAGCAGAGGCGACAGGCCCAGCGCAGTGACAACAGTGAGAAGGCTGGTGAGAAGGAACCGTAGGGCCCCTCACAGGGCACGCAGAGACACTCAGGAATGGAGAGGGAAGGCCGAAATCACCCTGCCCTGGGATTTGGGACAGTGAACCCAAAGCTTGATTTCCGTCCCGTCTTAAACTTGCCAGGTGTGTGCTGACGAACAGGGAGGATTCAAAGCTGTCTCCTGGATGAGCACTTGGCTTCACAGCGGAAGGAGGCAGACAGCCTTCTCAAGCAGCATTGCTTACAGATGAGCACACAGTTCTGCACCAAGGCACCTGTATTTTTTTTTTTTTTTTTTATCTGGTAAGATGGAAGCAGAAAAGGACTGGAAAATGTGTAGGCATCGTGCTGTGATTAAATGTTTTGGCTTTGTCTGAAAGTCATATTCTTTTTTTTTTTTTTTTTAAGATTTTATTTATTTGTCAGAGAGAGCACAAGCAGGGTGAGGGGCAGAGGGAGAAGCAGACTCCCCGCTGAGCAAGGAGCCCGATGCGGGACTCAATCCCAGGACCCAGAGATCATGACCTGAGCCAAAGGCAGACACTTCACCGACTGAGCCACCCAGGAGTCCCTGAAAGTCATATTCTTAAAAAATAATTTAAAAATTTTTTTTAAGCGCAGGAAAGCGCCCCGGAGAGTTGTGTTACGGGAGAGTTTGCACAGCTTATTAGCGGGTCCCCTCTCTGGGGCATCCATACTTCCTCACCACCTCCTGCATCCTCTTTTCCATGGAATGCCCAGGCTTGGGTCAGCCCCCTGCCCCGTAGATGCTGCTCTTTGCGAAGTGCAGAGAGCAGCTCATTTGTTAGAGCTGGGGTCGGTGTCCTGAGTCCCTGTTCAGAGGCCCCTGCCTTGTGTTCTTCCCCCTTCCTCAGGAGCCAGGGCTCTTCAGAATCTTAGCCAGAGCTGCCACTACCCAGAAAAGTTCCGTGAATTGTGGACAAGAGTGTGACTTTACAATTTTGGAAAAAAGAAGGAGTATACTACTTGGAGAAGCTCCTTTCATTTTGATTCTAGTCAAAGCAACACAAGCTTGTTTTCAGTCACACCAGAAAGTATTTGCAAACGTGTTTGCTGTTTAACGGGAGAACAAGGCAGTCAGGTGAGCTCAGGTGTGGAATTTCCCCGCCCCTGAGAGCTAAGCCAGGCACCAGGAGTGTCTGATTTTCATTCTTGAGGAGAAAACAGCAGGAGGCACCAAGCAGGTAGATGGTTTCTGGAACCAGGAACCCTAAACTAGACAAAACCCACAGAGAGATGCCGATGGAGATGCCAGAGGTCAAGGACCAGAAAGGACCAAGGTCAGTTCCTCATAATGACTCAGATTTCAGTGTGAGGGGAGCCGGTCACAGGCTCTTAGGAAAGAGGTACAGACCAAAAGGGGCTCTAGGGTCACAGAGGTGCCTACCTCGGCTTTCCTGTCACAGGATCCCAATAACCCACCCAAAACTCATTTATCTCCTATGTCTCATCTATTCCTAGTCCAGAGAGAAATTAGTATTTCCGTCTTAATGAAATATTGTATTTAATACATGATGAAAATACTTACATTTAGTGAATCCATTATGTAGGAAGGATGTAATGCTGGTGTTCCCTTGAGCTTCTCCACACCTTCCTACATGCTCCCACCTCTTTGTGGGGCTATGGGTCCTACTGAGGACAGCAGAAGCAGAGAACTTTAAGACTGGAGTACTGGTCTCTTCAAGATGGCTCCCGGGCGCCAGAGGTAGGAGAAAGTAGTTAACAGAAATTTTTGCAAAAGCATTTCAAGTCTTCAGGGGTAAATTATTTGGTCAACAAGTCTTCATTGAGAACCTACCACATGCCCAAAACTGGGTTAGGAAGTCAAAAGTAAAAACAAACAGCATGTAGTGATCAGGTACCAAAGCGAAGAACAGTTGGGGACGGGGCAAAGACCTCTCTGAGGAGATGGGGTGAGCTGAGACTTGAAGGATCACACCTTCCAAAGGCGGAGGGATCATTTGAGGCTGAGGAACGGAACAGCAGGTGAAGGCCCCAGGGTGACAAAGAGGTGTGTTTTTGAGGAACTGCCCCTCAGTGAAGCTGGAGTTCGTGGGTGAGAAGGGCAGGGGAAGGAGAGGATTAAAGAAACCAGATTTTATTTCAAGTGCAGAAAAAAACCCACTGAATGGTAACAAGCAGGGGAATGGTATGATCTATGTTTTAAGGCAATCACTCCCGCCGAAGGATGGAGAATGGTTTGCTCGGAGTTAAGAAAGGAGGCAAGAAGACCAGTCAGGAGGCTGTTAGAACTGTGGATAGGAAGAGGAAGGTGGCCTGACTGAGACAGCGCCAGGGGCCTAGTCCTCAAGATTCGTTTGGAATTATCCCAGAGAATCAACAGAACCTGCTGAGAGGCGAGAGAAAAATGAAAGATACTGATTCGGTTTCTTGCCTGAATACGGAGATGGGGTTGACTAGGGCAGGAATGGGAGGGGGCTGGAGATCACCAGTTGCATCACGTCTGTAAGACCTACAAAGGTGTCTTTCGATGTCATTTGGTCTTGAATCTAGAGGGAGCTTAGAGGAACGTTCACAACTGGAGATGTAATTCTGGGTGTTATCTGTATAGAGGTGGTGTTTGAGCTCATCGTAGTGCAAGGTGAGATGAGAAAAGAGAGGAAGCCGCAGGCCTGAGCACTTCAACATCCATGTTTAGAGCTGGGCCTGGGTGGCAGAGGGAGATCCAGGAACGGGGACAGAGAAGGGAGAAGGAAAACCAGGAGCGTGGGATTACGGACGCCTGGGCACAAAGAAATGGAAGGTACTCTTGAGTTTTGACTGTAGACCGCTGGAGACAATGCTTGCTTGTCAACAAAGTAAACTATATTTGTATAGCACTAACCGGTTCCTATAGCATCATGGACTTGCTGGCTAAGCCTTTAATCAGAGATGACAACTTACGGCCTTTTCACAAAGTCAACTCTTGTGGAAGAGCTGCCATTTAAACTGGGTTTGTTTCAGCTCACAAAGTTGAGCTGAGTGAGTTTGGGCAATCACGTTGGCTTCTTGGAGCCCAGTCTCCCCACCTGCACGCTGGGGACAACCACCCCATCTCCTGCACAGGGTGGGCGTGTGCACCCCGTGGAAGGGCTGTTTGTGGAAGTTTGGTAACAATATTGAGTATTTCTAAAACAGAATGTCGGCAAGGAAGGCCAATGCCTTCACACCCGGGTGGGCACCGCTTGAGCTATTCAAAGTTAACGGTCGACAGCGGACGACCACTGGAGACTCTTACAAGGTAAATGAAAGAACACATTACTGGGCTTAAAAAACGTGGCTTGGGCGCCTGGGTGGCTCAGTTGGTTAAGCGACTGCCTTCGGCTCAGGTCATGATCCTGGAGTCCCGGGATCGAGTCCCGCATCGGGTTCCCTGCTCGGCAGGGAGCCTGCTTCTGCCTCTGACCCTCCCCCCTCTCATGTGCTCTCTAGGGTATTGTCATTCATTCTGTCTCAAATAAATAAATAAAAACAAAAACAAAAACAAAAAACGTGGCTTGTTAATGAATCTCAACCTAATGGTGACTCCATGTCAGTCCCGACGAATCCAGGTTCCTGTTTTCTTGGCAGCACATTTAGGCCTGAGCGGCTTCCTGTAGTGAGAGTGGGTAAGTGGGGAGGCGCGTGCAGGGTGTTCTGAGGCCACCTCAGATGAGCAGTTTCTCTCCTCCCCACGAATGTTGGAGATCGGGCTGGCAGAGGGGGTCCCGTACCTGGCTATGCTGCAGTTGCTTGGGAGCCTGTGACACGGAGATCCTAGTACTGTTCTTAGACGCTGGTCTGGCAGGTCTGGGGCAGTGACCAGAACTTGCCCATGCGCTCCGGGGAGGTACTGTGAGGCAGGCCTGGGTGCGGAGTCAAGCATTTATTTCTAGGCTTGTAGCTTGCATAGGAAAATGTTTCAACAGTCAGAACTTTCTCTGAATGCCATAAAATGTAAACAATGACTTTTTGTGTGGGGGTGACAGAACCCCAGTTTCACCACAAACCGTAGGTGATTAGCAAGCCACTGCGAAAGGGAAAACACAGGGGAATCTCAGTCCCCAAAGAACCTCAACACAAGAGGAAAGAGACTATATTATGTGAAGGTTTCAAGTTGGGGCCTGTGGAAGCTTCCAGATCAGCTTGTTAGCAGGCCCCCACTCCAGTTCCCGGGCTCAGGCAGCCTCTTGCTGACGGGTGCACACACTACGCTGCTAAGATTCTAGGCAGCAGTTGATTCACAGGAGCGGCACGCCATCACCTCCTGCTCTGGAGGTGGATTAGTTTGCTTTCGGGCCAGCACAGCACCTGGAAGTTTTCTTCCCTTTGTGACAACAGCCCTTGCAGAAGCCTCTTCTTGTAAGCGCTCCCTCAGCCACTAGAGATATCCCCCCACTGACTGCATCTGAAGAAGGAAAGGACCAAAAGACAAGGTCTTGCCACTAAACCCAGAAGGCTTTGTAACTGTGACAGAAACATAGGAAGGGTGAGAGCACAAGGCAAAACACCAGCAGGCATCCTCCCTCTGCAGGGGCCTGCGATTCCAGGGTGTATGCACTAGCCTGCCTTCTCTGTTTTATTCTTTTACTTGAACTTTGTGTCCATGATCTACAAAACATTTGTGTTGAACCACTGATGGAAAAGCAACGCTTTCCCTCAGAGAGGTCTGAAGGAAGTGGCGGGGGAGTTGTAAGCACCCACATTTAGACACGTTGAGAGCTTAGCGGGCCGGTTTCACGTGGGTGCCAAGTCAAGCATTTATTTTTATGCTTGTAGCTTGAATAATAAAATGTCTGAACAGACAGAACTTTGAATGCCATAAAATAATGTTTATAAACAATGACTTTTTTTTTTGTCTAAAGAAAACAATCACTCATTCACAACAGAGCAAAACTTTCACACTTTTTTTTTTTTTTGAGAAAATGATTTTTCAAATATACAATCCCAAATTGGGTGCTTTTTGGGTATTAACTTTTATAAAAATGAAGTTTGCTACCCCTGTGCTAAGACCCTGAGGGGTGTTTATGCACACTGCACTAATGAGGCAAATGGATATTTGGGCAGGATACCTTTGCAAATGAAGATCAAAGTCAAAAAGAAAAAAACAAATTCACTTTATTTTAAAGACAATGATTGGCATACAGAAGGTATGCACCAGCATAAAATAAACTTTCATGAAAAGCATTAAAATCCATTATAAATTAATTTATTAAATAGGTATTTGGTATATGTGATGGTTTTATTAGATATTACTCTTATTTATTGCCAACCCCCTCCCCCAAAGTCAAAACAAATCAGAAAATCTCATAACTCCAATTTACACTAAATAATTTATTTTCCCAAAATGTGTATGTGTTCTGAGATGTGACACATGATACAGTTCAATTGGTCATTCTCTATCAATCATAATATGACAGGACACAAGAGGCTAAAAATGGCTCATCATAATTTATTTTATGTTAAAATGTACAGCTTTTTTTTTGTTTGTTTTTTTTTCTTTTTTTTGAAGTGACTGACTAAAAAGAGAACAGATAAATACAAGAGTGTCGCTGGCTCCTATTTTATACAAGGATTACGCCTCTCCTGCTTGGCCCTTACAGTCACCCTGTACAGGTACAAAGGCTACAAAAAAGGAAGCAATATAAACAGACACAAATAACTTTTTTGCTTTTTTACATGCGGTTTGTAAGCTTAGTTTGAGCTATTCACAAGCTACTTCTCTATTTTTCCTTAAAAAATAACTCCAATATTTTATAAAGATAGAAAAATCTACAGATGGAATGAAAATGTAAAGTTAGAGGCATTTCCATAAAATAGCAACTTTACACCAAATTCACTATTTTTTTTAAATCCTGCCAAGTATTTGGACATATATGAAATGTTTCAAAACCTGACAGATAAACACTGAGATATGCTTCATTCAATAAACAGAAGTCTGCATTTATAAAACAGAAAGCTGCCTTTTTTCCCCAAAGAAATCTGTCACCAAAATGGAAAAGGGTCTCAACTTTACACCAAACATTTAGCAATAAAACCCTTTTTGACTAACCAAATGGGAATAGCTTTTATAGCTCTTTACAGTTTTATAATTAACAAAAATATAGTTTTTTTTTTTAAACCCTCAAATCAGGGCACCCTAATCAAGGCAAAAAACTTAAGAAATGGCTTACCGTTAGCACAACACTTGTACAGTACGACAAAATGCACTGTCACTAACAAAGACATTAGCGGCATGCTGGAGTGTCACCTTAAACAAAATATACACTAACTGAAATGCTAAAGGCATTTACATGGAGTGGACAGGGGGGAAAAAAAAGTTCTAGGTTCCGCATTAAAACAGATAATTTGGTGGGGGCGGGGCTTGATATCCACATCATTTAATGGAAGCAGGCACAACAAGTGGCTGCCTTCAAATTGTAGTCCAGAGAGGCCTTCCTTTGCAGAGAACTTCATATAAAAGTAACAGAAACAAAGATACCAAAAAAGAAAAAGGAAAAAAAGAAAAACAACTTGTATAAGGCTTTCTGCTGCATACAGCTTTTTTTTTTTTTTTTTTTTAAATAAATGGTGCCAACAAATGTTTTTGCATTCACACCAATTGCTGGTTTTGAAATCGTACTCTTCGAAGGTATTTGTGCAGATTCAATCCAATAGTGATGCCCGGGGGGGGAGGGGATCTCGTGACTTGCCCCTGTTGCCTACCTTCTCATGTAGGACCCGTTGAGAGACTGTTTGGACATGCCCGTGTTCATGTAGCCGTGATGTCCGGGGGCCGTGTACATCATGTTACCGTGGGGCGGGGTCTGCATCGGCTGCTGGGCATATGGCTGGGTTCCCATCATGCCCATCTGCATCTGCATAGGGTATTGGGGTGTTTGATTCATGTAGCCATGATTGCTGTGATAGCCACTGTTCATCATCGGCTGGGACATGCTGTACCCATTCATGGCATTGAGAGTATTCATGTTCATGTTCACGGAGTTGACATTGTAGGCTGGGGCTGGCATCAGGTTCACACTCATGTTCATGCCCCTCTGCATCGTTAAAGTCCGTGCGGGACCCTGCATGGCTACAGTCTGGGAGCGCCCATAGATTTGCGACTGATGGGTGGCAGCGGCTGGTGACAGAGATGCCGATTTGGTTCTCATGGAGACGTGGCCCTTGCTGGCGATCTGGGTTTGCAGTCTTTGGCTGTGGGAGATGCCAATATTTGATGCAGCCATGTTCCGTTGCAGAAGAGGCGGTGGCAGATTCATCGGAGGAGGAGTCAGGTTGGGGGGTGGGGTCATGGTAGCTTGTGCTTGGGGTCCCCCAGGGACGGAGTGCGGAGACTGAGAAAGCTGAACAAGCCCTGTGTTACTTAATGGTGTGGACAGAGAGGCACTGTTTGCATAGGAAGTTACAGCAGCGGAATGGCTGTAAGGCAATGAATGATCAATAAGTGTATTAGTTAACTGCTGTAGTTTGGCAAGGCTGAAGGTGGCTGATGGCTGCGGGTAATGCCCAGCCCCAAAATCACTTTGCCCCATTCGTTCATATAAGCCAAGGTTGGCGTTGCCAGTGTCGGGGAGCTCGGCCAGCTGCATCGGCGGGCTGAAGTTGGCAGCCATGCTGCACTGAGCCAGCTGCTGGCCACTGCTCGGAGGCCGCTCCACGACACAGCCTTGAGGAGACTTGACACCGCAGGTCGGGGGTGAGCTGATGCTGGTCTGCTGCAGCAGGCTGCAGCTGCCACTGATGTTGGACATCTGCTGGGTGACGGCACAGCTGCTCTGTGTCAGACTGCTAGAGGTGAGGCTGCTATAGGAGCAGCTGTTCTGCGAAGAGCCGTTTCCGCAAATGCTGCCGCCCATAGTAGAATCATAGCTACTTGGGTTTTCGTAGTTCTCGGTTGTGCTCTCAATACTGCCCAGGTCACTAAATCCGCTGTCCACGACTTGCTGTGAGTGGTCAGACACTGACGGGACATCCATCATTGGACTGGTCTCCATGTTCTGCAAAGACGGCACCGAGATGGCACTTTGATCCGGGCTGATTTGGGCATAGCTGTTTTCCAGGGCAGGGACGCTTGGGCTGTTGACAGAACGTACTGACTGGCCAGGATGGGAATGGACGGAGGAAACGGGGCTACTGTGGTCTGACTGCTGGCAATCGTCCAGGGCGGTGGCGATCTGTGGACTTTGGTCTGCATGGGTGTAGTTCTGTAGGCTTCTACAGGCCTCTTGAGTCTCGGCACAATCCTGAAAAGTATCGTCCTGTTCACTGTTCTCCTGGGTCAAGGACTGAACTGCCTGAACGGTCTCGGAGTCAATTTCCATGGTTGCAGTATTTCTGTCTTTGAACTCAGCATCCACTTCTTCACTGTTCTTTTGGTCCTGCTTCTGGGCCTCTTCTCCTGGGGATTCCTCATCAGATTCAGGTGCAGCTTCAGTGTCTCCAGCAAGCTCCTTAGGTTCGCTGTTACAAGCAGCTGCAAGGTCAACGCCACAGTCCATTAAGACCTCTGAGTTCGAATGACTAGGCCGGACACTAAGGTCTAAAAAAGCCTCCTGGTTTTCTAGTACTTCTTTGAAGGCTTCTCTTGGGCGTTCTTCCTTCTCTGCTTCTGTACACTCCATGTGACTGTCATCTTCATCATCTGCATCGTGACCCTCGTTGTGAGATGGCTCTTCATCCTCTTCCTCCTCCTCTTCATGATCATCCAAGGGAACAGGGTCTTCTTTGTCCATGCAGACTTCTGGTTCTTCTTTTTCCTGACTTTTAGCACCACCTGGGTCTTTTTCTACATTTTCTTCTTCTTCCTCCTCCTCTTCCTCCTCCTCCTCTTCTTCCTCCTCCTCCTCTTCGTCGTCTTCTTCCTCCTCTTCTTCCTCCTCCTCAGGTTTGATTAGATCATCTTCTGGTTTTTCACCCGGCGATTTATTTGGACTTATAGGTGCACATGTTTCGTCCCTTCTGTTTTCGTCCCGAGGCAGCAGGGGCTCCACGGTTTCCTTGACCTCTTCCTCAATCCTGGTGGGAGTGGGGCTGGTTTTGTCTTCCGGAGTCTCCTTCTGTTCTTCTACTGTTATCTGGTCATCAGGTTCCATGGGTGTCTCTGGTGGGGTGTACAAGTTCAGTTTAAATCCAGTCTTCCTCTCTTTGTTTGGCCTCCACTTAGATAGACCACGTTTTGTTCCTTTTGGCCATACTTGTTTGCACTTTAGAGGTTCAGGATTGTCTCTACTGCCGTCTTTCAAGTTATCTGTATCATCATCCATATTGTCTTAGCGAGGAGACAGAAATGGGAGGAAGAAAAACAAAGTCTTAGAAAGCATCACCTTGAACAACTTGAATTCATTCTTCTAAATTAATTAGTATACACTGCTTTTGATTTCAAGAGTTGATGATAAAGACACAATCAAAACTAATACAGAATCATACTGTGCTATAAACCAAGTAAATAACCTAGGTTTGGGAAAATAATGTGTTTCAAATAGTCCCTCCCTCCCTCCTCCTCCCCTTCCAACAGAAAGTTGTGCTTTTTATAGAAAGCACATGGATGCAGACAGCTATAATAAACTGCTTTGAGTTTAACAAATAAGACATTCTCTGATGTAAAAGCCCAGAATTCCACAATGTAAAAAAAAAAAAAAAAAAGAATTCCACAATGAAAAAAAAAAAAAAAAAAAAAGTCGAACATGTCCAAATTAGAAAACTACAGGGGAAAGGGGGTTAACAGTAGCTCATCTCCAAAGCACCACTGTCCTGGAAAAATGAACAGACGCCTAACTCACGTATCTATCCTGAGAGAGTGACCTTCCGTTTGTGGACATTTACTACATTTAAATGATCTCAGATGACACTGTTTACTTTGATCTGAATTTCTCCCTGGTATAAAAACAAACTGTGCACCTCTGAAACAAATGAAGAAATACCTAAATATCCCCAATACAAATGCATCTGTACTAGAGGATCATCATTTTTGCACGACACAAACTATAATGTATTTTTCATGAAATGATTGAATAGTTAAACTCTAGGTATTCTTTTGATCACTAATTCTGTCCACACTGTATTTAGGATCAATTTGTTGCTCGAGTGTAAGGTTTGAACACTGCAGTAAATAAGAAAAAAGCCATAATGTTCACGTTCATTTTAACTTGGCTAATCTTATTTCTCCTGTCCTGTCTTTTCTATGAATATAAACAGATTTGTAAATACATTTATCTAAATATAAGCAAGCAAATAAATATATGAATAAATACAAATATAAAACACCTAAGTCTTCATGAGATCTTTAGAAAGAAAGTTAGAAAGCTCACACTGACCTCCTGGAGGTCAATGTAAAGGAAAAGCTTTACAAAGAAAAACAGCCTTATTACAAACATTACTGTGGAGAACAGACTTAAGATCTCACATTCAATGTGGAACAGAGATCCTTTCTGCCAGAATGGAGTGATTTCTAATCTAATCAGTACAGAACAGGGTAAGCTCTTAGTTCACTTATGTAATAAAAGGATTACACATAAACTTACCTGCAAATATTACATTCAAACTGGCTAGCTGAGAAAACATAGATGAGGTAGACTGATTCCTTCAGAAGTACAAAGTACAATACCCAATTAATAGTCACTCCAAAGTGTCCAAATGGTTTTATTTCTAGTCACATGGGCAGATAAAAGCCATGCCAATGCCCCTGGATTCCACATGCTACTGGACCTACCAGCTTTTGTAGGAGCACCTCTCTAAATCAGAAGATGAGTTTTCTGATAATTACGGAGATCCTGAAAGGAATCAGGTTAATATGGCCACTTAGAATTTTAAAGGCAAACTGCCCAGAGTGGAGAATAAAGGTCGTGATGATTCCTTTACAGGCTCCTGAGAAGAAGTGGAAATAAGTCTCAATGTCTACACACAAAAAATGGTACCTTGCCGCAGCTTGTTGTTGCTGTTTGTTTAAAGAAACTAAAGAACAGGGGTGCCTGGGTGACTCAGTCAGTTGGGCACCCGACTCTTGGTTTTGGCTCAGGTCATGATCTCATGGGTCGTGAGATGGAGTCCCGCATGGCGCTCACCGGGGAGTGTGCTTGAAAGATTCTTTCCCTCTGCTCCTCCCCACCCCTCAAATAAATAAATAAATCTTTAAAAAAAGAAAAAAGAAACTAAAAAACAAGGCTTGGATTCTTTATACCCAGGATAAGATGTCCTTCTCTCAGCAAACTACTGCATATAGCAATAGTATTGCAGTTAATTATGAAAGTCAGGAAGATGCTTGCTCATGCCCTTAAAATTGTGACTTTTCTTTTCTTCTTTTTTTTTTAAAGATTTTATTTTTTAAGTCATCTCTACACCAAACATGGGACTAGAACTCACAACCAAGAGTCACATGCTGCACCCACTGGGCCAGGTGCCCCAAACCGTGGCTTCTCAAAAGCAAGAGACACCTGTAGTTCCCAAAGAAATGAGATGGCCTGTTTCTAGATTAGCAGGGATACTAGAATAAGTTTTTTATATAGAGTCAGTTCAGCTACAGAGAGGAGAGACTGTCCACAGATCCTTACGATTCAGCTGGGAACTCAAGAATCCAAGCCAAAAGGCAAGGAATGGTTGCTTTTAAACAGGGCAGCAAAGACAATTCATTGGTGTTAGGTTTTTGTTTTTTTTTTAAAGAGGATGGGGTGGGGTGTCCCTGCCAACAGCAAATTGTAAAATAGTAACTTAAAAGGAAGGACAATTTCCTGATTTCCACATTATTCTATATTATCAAAGCTAATACTGATGGTGTGGCTAAGTTTAAATGATTCTTGATAATAAAGTATCCTAAGACACCACTAATCATAAGCTGCATCATCGATTTCCTATATTTATTTTTCAGGAAGAAAGAAACTACAGCATTCGATGCTTACATTGACAGGAATAAAAATCCTGACTCTGGAAATATTAAGTGTGAAAAAAAGTACCTATGAGAATCAAGGAGATGCAGTGTGTTTCTTATTGAGACTTCAGAATTTTTGAGGATTAGCCAATTTCTGGAAAGTCAGATGAACCCACCTAGAGGAATGTTCTGGCCTTAGAAGTTGTTTAAAATAAAATCCAATTCCAGGAAGAAGGGATAGAACCTTTTACGAATGAGAGAGGACAGATGAGCACTTATTCCTGGTGGGTCGACACAACCCCCGAGCTGCCTCTGGGCGGTCATGCACGAGACATGCACAAGGATGAGATTTTTATCATCCCTCCACTTACTTCTACAAGGGTCAGCATTCTTAAAACAATGATTGTCTTTTTCTTCGTCTTCCTCTGTTTGTCTTTTCTTCCCAGGCTGATGTTGGAAGGCTTTTCTTAGGACTGGCTTCCCGCCGTCTTCCTCTACTTCAATCTCACAGGTAGGCTCCAGGTGCGGCATCGGTCTCTCTTCGTCTGAGTTGTCAAAGGGCTCGTTCAGGACTTCCGTCGTCTCAGAAATGGTCTCAGTTGTTACGCTGCTGTTGATCCTCCTGCGTTTACGACCCCTTTTCTTCTTTAGCACAAAAGGCCTCTGAAATTAATTCCGAACATAATACATAAGAGCTCATGAGAAATTAAATGGTTGAGTCGATAGGCAGCAACCATGTACCGAAGGCCTGTCTGAGAATCTTACACGTAGAGACTTCTGTAATGCCTTTGTATTTCACCTTCCATCTGATGTTTAACATCCCTGTCGGGCTCTAACTACACAGGCAAGTGTTTTCCAAATAAAGCAATTGTTTACTCAAGAAGATGCTCTGAGAGGGAACATCGCCTCAGCTTAACTGTAGATTTTAAAAGCCAAGGTTTGCTTTTCTAGAATACATTTTCCAGTAGTACTTGCAGACTTCAATATCCTGTACATCATTGCTATTCGGTCATCATGGACACAGATGTTTGCATAAATGTTGCAATAATCAACCCGCCACTGGCTCACTCATTTAATACTTGATAACTGTTCACGGAGCACCTGCTATATGCAAGGCGCTGTAGGAGATTTGATGGTGTTCCCCATTTCACAGGACTTCAGAACGATGAAAAGGGAAAGAGGATGGGGTACTAGAAGAATTACTCTGTTTAAAATGTTAAGAGAGTCATGTATTGATGACTGCACAGATGTCAGCAACTGATTAATTCTATAAAATATTATAGAAGGCCTAAGGCCTCTAAAGAATGAAAGGACATGTGAAATCTGTCTTAAATATTTATACGATAGGAATTTTTTTTTCTAACTGCACCACAGGCTGGCACAGATGACTCTCCATAATAGCAATTATAAAACACTTTTGCCCAAGCAAAAGAGTATTTAATGAAACCAAATTAAAATACAGGAATAACACATTTGCTGCTAAAATGTTATCTGTCAATAATGGGTCTGAAAAATTATTTAAAATACATTGCAAAGAAGGTTCAATATACTTGGTTAAAACTCAAACTCTAAACTGTATCCAAGAATTACTGTTGGCTCACATTAACTCTCTCAACGTTCACATATAAACCTGATAATCATATTCTGTAATTTGACATTTATGGTTATTAACACCCCCCCCAGTCGGCCTGCCCTCCCTAATCCACTAGAATTTACCCAAACATGAGTACAGCCAATATAAAGACCTGGTTTCCTCCAGATTGAATCCATTTATATGATGGGAATCCATCTCATGCTTTGGATAATTCTGGTTTTTGATGTTTTTAAAAAATACCTGAATACATTTTCCTTGTAAGAAATCAAAAGATGACTCCCAAGCCTGAAGTTTACTTTTACGGGATGTTCTTTTCTACCCCCTCACCACGCTGCCCTTCCACTAACAACAGACTACCAAGCTGGGAGTTAGAACAGCAGGTTCTTGGACAGCAGTGCACAGGATGACTTTGGGGCAGAGCCTCAGCTTGCGTCATTTCTGTAAGTCTTGGCTATACTAACAATAGCTGGCCCCTCACTATGTCACAGATACTGAAGACAAAGATATCAGATCTGGGTTGAATAAAATTACCCAAGGACAAAATCAATTTTTTACTTTCTGCACAAGGTGTATCTAGAGAGACCACCAGGTTATGAGCGATTTCAGCAATGGGACTTGGATGCAAATGCAAAGTATCAGCATCAACACGGAGAGCCTGAAGTACCTTCACAATTCTATGCCGGGAACAAGAAAGAGAGACAGTTATCAGGAGCGCTGGGCTTGGAGTCGGAGTACTCATCTGGTTCTGGTTCTGGCTCCACCTCTAAGGAGTTGTGTGACCTTGGACAAGTCTCCTAGCTTCTTAAGGCCTTGGTGTTTTCATCAAAATGCACTGAACGGTGGTGTGAGTGCTCTCCAGGGCCCTTTTCTGCTCCCATTGCCTGACTTACTCTGGTCCCACAAACCAGCAGGTGGCAGTAACTACTAGACGAGGAAGCCCGCCTGTCCCTGTTTTCTGGTCCCAGCACTAACAAACCTCAAAAAGTAAACACAATCATGACTGTAAGATAAACGATTATGATATATGATCAGGAGGACTGAATACAAATAAACTACGTCTAAAGAATAGAGAGTGAAACAAATACTAATAGATTGTTTGCAATGACAAGATTTGATTGAAACGGACTCAGACCGCAAATCTAAACAGACACATACCTTTCTCTTTATGGCAACTGATTGTGGTTTGGTCAATCTTGGAGGAGAACTCTGTATATTTTCTTCTTCTTCCTCCTCCTCCTCCTCTTCCTCCTCCTCCTCCTCCTCCTCCTCCTCTTCACTGCTATCTTTAGACAGCTCCATCAGCTGCCCTCGCTCCCCTGCCACTGGCCGGCTCTCCGGGGAATGCAAATATTTATTTTTCGATTGTACTTTTGCAGGTGATTGCCTACTGTTCGCTCTAGAGGACAGGATTTCTTGCTCCTCCTTTTCCCAGCAGCTAGCTTGTTCCATTAGCCGCTCAGCCTAAGTGGGGGGGGTGGGGGGGGAGATAAAAATGGTGGGCCAGTGAAAGGGCAGTTAAGCCAGAGCCTCTAAGGATCAAAGGCAAGGACCTCTTAAGTCGTTTCTGATCAGGACAGTCAGCCAGCCAAGCAACATTCCAGCTGCATCATCTCAGGACTCTCTTGCATCAGTTAGGACAACAAATCAAAGAAGATTGGGTTTCATGGGATATTTAGCAGTATTAATGATGCAGCGAATTGATTTGAGTCCTTTATCACTACATTACATGCTCACTGGCATGGAGCACTTTAAGCAAGTTCATAAACACAAAGAATCGATTGACACTGCAGCCTTGGAGCTCAGCACCAAATGTGATCTGATTACATGCTGTCAGTAGTGAAAAATGCTGCCTTGTGATCAATGATAAATGTTTCATTTTTCATACTCAATTCAATAAAATTATCATGTCTTACCATGCGACCTCAGTTAGGATAAATTAGTACCATATCATTTCACAAGCTCTCTCTATATAACCAAGCCTTTGACAACGATGGTAATGACCTTCTTAGCTTAAGAATGCTGCAAGATTGAAGTCCCACAACTTAGGCAGATGAAGCCAATCATTACCTCTTTCTCAGCTTCTCGCTCCTCTTCAGAAACTGCAGCATTAGAAATTAAAATTGGGGTCCACCTTAGACTTTCTGGATCAAGCTCATTGGTCCGGGAACAGGTTTTCAGCTTTTCCATGTGGCCCAGTATCAACTTTTCCCTTCTAATGATGACAAATCTGTAATGTGATGAGGCAGAACAAACTGCAATCAAAAGCTGAAATTTCATTTCGCCTTCACACATTGACAAATGCTAGCACTATTACCCAGGGTACGATTGATGAGAAAGCTCATCAATGGAAAGGTATAGCAAATTGAAATCTGATCAGCAAAAAAGTATCATTTCCTGTTTTCTATTTAGGAGAAAGGTTTTGATGATACCTTTTATCAACCTCTTATCTTAAACTGGAATGTATCCCCCTAACACCAGGCACCCTTCCTAGTGTAAGATGCTTGAGAGGCAGCCAGTGACGCGCAGGCATTGATACTCACCTGCCATCCCGTTTGTCAATCATATGGAGGTGCTGCAGGGTGGTGGCGATGTCATGTGGGCACATGCCCGTAGCTCTGCTGATGGCCTTGATGCTGATGTGCTTCTCTTGGTGGTGGTAGAGATATTCTAAGATGACGCTCTTCCAGTAGGCCAGATAGGAGAGACGGCCCAGATCAGAGAGTGGCTTTTCAGGAGACCCTGCTTGGCCTTCTCTTCTAGAAAGCAAATAGCCTAGGGCAGAAAAAGCCAAAGTCGACCTCACTGTGGTGTTTTCAGACATTGGAATGGGGGCCACTCGGAAATAACATAAGTAGCAATAAGGTAAAAACAGCACATCAGACTTTATGTATGCGGTCCCTTTCCCAGTTACAGTGATTTGATCTCCATGAAGTTTATGCTTCTGAACCTTTCATGGTAGCACTCTAAGTCAATTCACATAGCTAGCAGCAGCATTCCAAATATACATCATGGCATATTTCACAGAGCTAAGGTTGAAGACTTTACTTCTGATAAATTTCAACATCCAAGTTTCTCACCAGCTTTAGATTCTTTCAAAAAATGAAATGTCAGGCACTTACTCAGAAATCCTGTCGAGGGACCACCCCAAACATTAATGGGCAAGTTGTTTTCCACAGGAAGGACCTAATGACCCTTTGACAGCTGGGTCTTAATAAAAGAGAAGGGTCTCTGTTGACTCAGATTCTATATTGCTTGTTACATTTAACTAGTCGGCTGATCTGAAGCTTTGTTTTAGGACTAATAAAAGAATGTCTTTTAAGTCAACTGCTGCAACTCACATCAGCTCCACTAGCTCTATTTTCACCTCTTTCATGTAAATTAATTTATAATCCAACCCCAGAACGTTGCTTCTACGAATAAAACAACCTCCTTAAAACAAACTGTTTCTTCGTGTATAGTCAGAAAATCCCTGAGCATGGTTAAGCTTTTGAATGTGCATCCTACGGCATTACGGTGAAGGTTCCTTGGCAAAAGGACTTTAAAATGATTTAAAACTTTAAATCTATTTGAAGGTAATTAATGAAAGCTGGCGGCTGTCTTGGTAATTAAGAGCCACTTACGGAGTAAAGAAATGCTACAAACTAATAACGTCTACCTTGCTCTAATTATCGATTTCAATAGCCTCACCTTCATGAACTTCCTAAATTTAAACAAACATCAACCACATGCAGTAGGTGGCAGCAATTACAAAATCATGCTGCTCTGTAAACCACCCAAATCTTCAGCAGTTTTCTTCTTTATCTACATTTCCAAAATGGCTGCATTCTCAAGAATTTTCTCAATTTTGGATTTTTTCTTAGAAGGAGAAATCATGCTTCTGATGCATTTTCCTGCCTCTCAAAATTACTGCAGATAATGCAGAAATAGAGAACAAGAAATCCAACCTGACCCTAGAAGGGTGTAACCACAGCATTTTGCATTTTGACAGTTTTAATCTGAATGTCATTATAAAGAATAAGCACATATTTAACTTTACGCTTTCCTGAAGTCTTTTGACTTATTTGTCTCTCTAACTCATGTTTAAGTGTAATGTAGTTGATTGAATGCAAACAAGCACCACAAAAATTTTACAGTCAAACCGCTGTCGACACGTCATTCAGCTGCATACTGAGGCTCTCAAGAGCAGTGTGTCAGGAATGCTAACAGTGATGACCGTGGTGCTCAATCCAGCCCAGATCATGCCCTGTCAGTTTGGAGAAGAGCTCTCTGTCACTCAAGTACAAAGGGTGCCCAGACCTCACGACACGGATAATTGGCACGTCCGTCACCTGCCTCCTAAGTGCTTAGCACATGCTGAGAAATTTACTCAGTTGGCTGGAGGACCCAGCTCTGTCCCTGTGTTGGGGGGGGAGAGGACCACAGTATCCAGGCTATGGAACTATCCCCCTTGTGACCATGAGATCCCACAATTAAAAGTCCCCTGCAGTGACTGTGAAATTCCCTCGTCCCTCACTGGTTCTTATCTGAACCCCACAGTTAGGGATGGAAAGCCCCACCCCCGCAGCCCAGCAGAAAGATTTCTATACAACCGCGGTCAGAAGGCAGCAGGTGCCCTTCCTACCTTCTGTTCTCCGCTACTAGGAGCAACCTTACCCAGGAAGCACATGGATTTCTTTGTTCTGTCTTCTCTTCCCTCAATCCCTACCCCGGGCTCAGCCAGAATCCCCCCAAACCATATTTTACATTACACAGCTGTTCATATTTTCACACCCTGGGGCAGCACAAACACACCTTTATCGGGGCCTCAGCTTAAACTGGTCAGGCCACTGGAACTTTCAGGCAGCCTAGGATCTGTGGAGAGCGTTTAAGCATAAACTTCTCAGCACCTGCAATTCCCACCACGGTAGGTGGTGGTCTCCTGGGACAACCCCTTGGACACAGTGTGCAGTGTGTGACTGACACTGCTATGGGAGACTCCTGGAGCCCTGGGTGGGCTGGGGAGGCGGCGGCAGGGCACCAAGCCGCACTGAGCGTGCGTACACTGAGCCCGTTGAGCCCACTGGACTTTCACAGCAAGCACCTCCACACCACACCAGTGAAGGCTACAAAGCAGGAAGGCTACCAACATCTGACAGCAAGTGATACCCTCCTGCATGCTGGGGAGAAAAAATGCAAACCAAAACTCCAACCAGAAAACATCAAGCAGGTTTCCAGGGATGCTGTGCGCCAACATTTCAGACCACACAGTGCCACTGTCTAAAGGCATCACTGCATTGCCTGAAGTTAGTTTTTCCTTCTCTGACTCATGAGACCCTCAAGGAGCTTATCCCAATGGAAGGAACTTGAACTTAAGCTGAAAGCCATTTAAAAGTCCACAGTCTCCTCCTGAAGGGGACATTTCAAAATTAAATGGAATCCATTTCCACAATCAAAACGACCAAAGGTTAATTTCTTTGATTCCTTACTACTTAAGTGAAATCACTTGTAATATGTTAAAATGTATAGCTTAGAAGACAAAGCTGTCATGTCTATTCTACTCCACTGGTGCACTAGGCAGGAGGCACTTTCCTTCAAAAAAGCTATAGCTGGTAGCACTTCACTATTCTGACCTTTGTTTTATTTTTTAAAAAAGATTTTATTTATTTGAGAGAGGGAAAGACAGACAGTGAATGAGAGGGACAGGGAAAGAGAACCTGAAGCAGACTCCGCACTGAGCACAGAGCCCGACGTGGGGCTCGATCCCACAACCTCAAGATCATGACCTGAGCCGAAACCAAGAGTCGATGCTTAACCGACTGAGACACCCAGGCGCCCCCTACTCTGACCTTTGTAACATGGAATGATTTAAATAATGAATTTCTTGCTATCTTTTGTTTCCTTCTCCTTTTTCTAGGCTCCTCAAATCATTACTACACAGCCAATTGACAGAATAATTTTTGGTAAGAACATTTAGGTTATTGAGTAATTACAGCGATGTGGTGGTTTAATGTTACAGCTCTTACATGTAACTTACCAAAAAGATTCCAAGTAATTATCTAAGATGCAGGGAAATAAAAAGCACTTAACTTGGAAGCCGGTGTATTATCCTGAAGATCTGAAGCAAGTACAATACACCCCTAGTGAATAGATTCCCACAGTGCTTGAACACCTTTCCTTAACTGAGGATACTTTCAATCAGAAAACTTGAACTATCCCTGGGGGACCTGGTTGTTCAGGCTAAAAACAAAGTGGTGTTTGGAGGACAAATCCCAGTAGCTGCAGTATAATTAATTGCTGGTGAAATTATTCCCTTTAAATTGTCTGTGAGCCAGCGGTGCTGGTGAACAGCACTTATTCTGTGATCAGGAGACTTGTAATTAGAAATTGATTGGCCTGTAAGCCCCTCACCCACATCAACTATCTTCATACTATTGAAAGCTGGCTTTCTCTTTTGCTTTACTGGAATGACTTATCCAAAGGAGGATGAGGTCTGAGTCTCAGTTTATGGACCACACACTTAATTTAAAAGATTACCAAAGTATTTGTTTAAGGGGAAAGTTAAGAAAAGGAGCATTTCTAAACTGTACTGACTGCATAGGACCCAAATTTACCTCACTTCCGTAAAGGCTGACCTACTTGTAGTCAGAGAATCAATTCTCACATTAACTAGCCCTGATCCCTTGTGTTTGAAATGGTTAACTCCATTCTAGGGAGAGGAAAAAAAGTGGTAGAAAGTTGCCTTTGTGTAGACAGATCTATTAGGATAAGGAGGGAACTATCTAGACAAGGTCAAGATTTGTTTTTACAGACCTAAATTCCCAAATTAATTGAGCTCTCAGCGTATTAAGTGCAAGGTTAACCCTTGTTTAATATGAAACATTCCTTCCTTTTGAACTAGTAATATTTCAAAATTGTAGACTGGACCAGAAGTGGAATAATGTTAATGGATAAGGATTTCCCCCCACAAAGGCAGCCACCCCTCATTTTGCACACCTTCATCTTCTACCATCTGGAACCAAACCATACGAACTTCCTCAAATACAAAGTGTGAACTTTGGCAAGCGACTCCCAATTCCCATCTGTCTGGATTATATGAGTCTGGGGTTACTAGCTGCTTTTAGGGGAAGATAATCTTCAAGGATTACACACCCTTCATCAGACACCTGTTTAGCTCAGCAAACCTTGCTGAAAGGTTCGTATCACTAGACAGCACTGGGTTTGCAAGCCTGGGAACTGACACCAGGCCAGGGATTTATGGCAGCTCTTGAGCAGAGGAAATCCGATGGCTCTAACCACGTATCTCGTGACTAGGGACGGAAATTCACTGGTCTGTGCTCATCTGTTACTGGTTTCTGGGGTTAAGCAGCTCTGTGAACAAGTGGATGAATGGCGTGGTATCAGTTTAAATAGTGATAAATGAACCTGACAGGCTATTTATGTCTCCTTGCTGAAATCTTGTGGTGATTTTGCTGTTAGTAAGGAAGGACGCTGAACCTTAGTCTTCCTACTGTTTTCAGAGAACCGGAGTGTTCCAAATAACCCGTGACCTGCCAGATTTCTTACTACTTTCCATTTATTAAAAGATATAGATGCATCCATAGCAAAAATGGAAATTTTGAATTTTTGAATTATTTTATACTTTAAGAGATTGGTTTTGAAAATGGGAATGTGACATCTCTCCCATAATTCTATGGGCTTGAAATAATTATAAAATAATTCGAATAAATACTGCTTGACTTTTCTATAGACTTCTCTACTTCCTACTGACCAGTGGTTTTCAAAGACTGGCCTCC